CCTGCTGTTTTATCAACAGCGTTAATAAAGCTGAAACCCTTTATCTGATGGATAGAAAATTTTAACAGAACTGAGCACAAAGACACACACACAAAAAAATCAGTGCTATGTTGGAAAGTACCAAGAGGTAATGAAAACAAAGAAATGTGTAAGGAACATATTCCAAATAGCTGCAGAGGAAATCTCAGTTGTATAGCAAAGATTAGCTGGGCACCCAAGTTTGGGGGATGTTTTTCTAAAGGACCAGGCTCTGTTAATCATGCAAATCTAATAGTGAATTCTAGATACCACTGCAGGCTTTATCTCTGTATGCTTACCTCTTGGCCAGCGAGCCAGATTTTGATCTGCCATGAGACCTAGACCTACAAGAAAAAAAAACACAGCTCAGTAGGGAAGCTGGTAGCATGCACATTCCTACATTCAAGACAGCAAGATTCGCACTAAATGCGTAAGAACTGCCACATCGAACAGACAGAATCCTGCAAGTTTTCAGGGCTTTCCCTGCTAAGTTTCAAAAGAAAGCTTTTTAAAGGGATGCCGCACATGTTGCTGTGTACTTTGGTCCCTGGCTGATGCAGGTGGCAGGAAGATACGAACAACCGAAATCCTGACCAGTGTTTCCACAAAGCTAATAAAAAACTTGCAAGTTTTATTAGGCTTGAGTGAGGCAGCAGGCAGCATGCTCCTAGGAGTATCTTCTCCTCAATGCATTTCATCTTATATGGATGCACTTGCTCAAAATATTTTTTTAAATCTGCCAAAATGTCAGTCTTTGAGGTAAGACTGCCGCACCATAAGAACACTAATACTGCCTAAAAGAATAACTGAAATGTTTAGGTTCCCAAAGGAAGTGTTTTACTTCATTAGAGTTAAGCACCAGTATTTTGCCACTTCACTGTACGTGTATGTCTGTAATTTCCTCTGCCTCGGTCACTTCATCTCTACTTACAATGAAAGATGTCACACAACAGAGTCTAGAAATTTCACTAAAAGCATCCTTACCACTGCAGAAAACCATCCTGGTACTAACAAAAAGAGAACAGTAGTTGTAAAATTAAGATGTTTTTCTCTTTGAAAGCCAGTTGACTGTAGCTGTTTTCTGCCTATCACTAACAGTGAACAGGGATGAGCCCTGACTAAGTCATGTTGGAACAACTTGTATTAAGATTCAACATATTTTAACAACAGGTAGAGAAAGTGTACCTCGTCAGTGCAGGCACTGCTCTACTGCCTCAGGGAACTTCCCTTCTCTTTTTACCGGTTTCTGGACTGTCTGTGAGAGTTTTTGCTCTTAACTAAGCCATCTCCTGGTCTTCATCTCTCCATTCCTTAAAAACTCCTGTCGCTGCTTGCTGTTCCACTCTCAGAAAATGCCACCATCACTTTTCAGCACTGAATCACCCACCTTCCACTGCAGGCTTTTCCACTTCCTCCCTTCAGCTAAGGCTTCCCTTTATCTTTTTGTGTTTCTTCATGGTTGACTATTATGTTATTTATTTCAAAGAGCTGCCATCAAACCAGCACAGTAGGCCTGGGACTGGGCTGGGGCAAGAGCAGTACCATCTCCTTCAGAGCAGAACTTCAGTTTACTCATGTTCTCCTCTGACAGCTCACCAAGGACATCCAACCAACCTACATGAGCCACACCGCCTGGACAAGGACTGCACCTGCATCCACTTACTATGGAAGGACTAAACGACAACTTAAGAGAATGAATGACATCCTGTGTTCCTTTCAAATTTGACTGTCCCCCTAAGGCACATTTGTTGGTACAAAATAATTCTGATAGGTGTTCATCTCAAATATGATTCAGCTCCTGCAGGCTGACACTTTGTTATTCAACAGAGCTGGAAACAGCTGTAACACTCACAGTACTAGCGAGCCTTTCACCACTTGCCCGCACTCATTGATGCTCTAATATACTACCAGAAGGGCATCCTGCTTTCTCTAACAAATAAGGCGAAGAATCCACAATCCTTTGTCTGACATACAAAGACAAAAACTTTTCAGATGAATTCTAAATGTGTTTGCTATGTCAGTTGTTAATGCAACCTGATCAAAACAGTACTTGAGAGGAGTGTCGGGAACTGGCTATCAGTGATATGTAAAAAAGTAAAGAGAAAGAACAATCTTCTGCACTGCTTTTTAAAACTACAGGCTCCTAAGTTAAGGGAGAGAAAATGAAGTTCTTTCTGAAAATGTTAACAGCTGTTAGAAAGCCTAAGCAGACTTTTAAGTAACTTTTACAAAGCACCCGCAGTCACGGAAGAGATCTTACCTGCTTCGGGGCCATGTAACAGATCTGGATCTAGATCTGGATCTTGATCTAGACCTGAAATAAAAAATTAAGACAAATTAAAACAAAATCAAAGAAGTCAACACAATCAGAAGTGATGACAATTACAGCACTACCTAGATTAATATCTACATGTTGAACTTAAACCCTGTAAGATCATTAGACATTTAGACATCAAAATTAATCATGGGATATGTAGCTGTGTAAGATCTCAAAAATAATCGTACTACCATGCCTGTAAAATCACCTAGGATTATAATTAAGTTTTTAAAGCAAGTCTGATTTCTAGAGGTCAACACCTTTCAAAGTCTGCTACCCAATACCTTTTGAATGCCTTAACTAAAATGAAAAACAAAAACAAGAATAAGGCACACAGCCTCTGAAAAATTACTACTGACTACCTTGATCTCTTCAAGGAACCCGATCGGGATCGGCGGGGAGACATAGACCTAGACCTACGAGGAGAAACAGACCGGGACCTACGATAGGAAGCTGACCTGGACCTGCAAGGAAATAAATTGAAGAGTTGTACAAATGGAGCTTTTTCTAAGCAAAATAAGCAAACAGGAATAAAGTACAAACTTAAGCCCACCTCCTACCACGACTCCGACTGCGTGAC